CACGCCCGGCTGATTTTTTGATTAATGTAGAGATGAGGTCTCGCTGCCCAGGCGGGTCTGATCCCACGGGCTCAGGCAATCCACTCACCTCAGCCTCCCAAAGGCGCGGGATTACAGGCTGAGCCACCGAGCCCGGCTTGACTCCGGGATTTTTAAAGAGCCTGATTCTACCTCCTTCAGTAACAGAATTTCTGCAGACTGACATCTTGTCAGAAATTGCTTTAAGGGTCAAAAAAAAAGTTACTGAACAAGATGCTTCTATAGTTCTTTGTTTCCTTGTCTATAAAATGGGGATAATAAGAGTTTCTTACCAGGGTTGCTATGAGGATGGAAGGAGCTTTCATATAACACATACAAACCAGTGAGAAGTGGACCCTGCTTATTATTACTGCTTTTCTTTCATCATAGTCTATCTGTTCCTTTACATCAGCATTCCCCAAATACTGTTCATTCACACAGCTTTGTACTGCTGTCACTATTGTTTATTTAGTATCTTTCTTTAAGCTGACTCGCTTCCTTTTTACTTGAAACGTATTCTAAAAGGGAACTGTACATCACCACGGTAAATGGCAAAACAGAATTCTGTGCCATAACTAGGAGGCAAAGGTAAAAATAAATACGAAGAAAACAAAACAATCTAATTAAACTCAAGCTTGTTGCCTGCCAAGGGCATTGATCCCAGGCTTCCTGTTTTTTCCTAAGAAGACAGATTAGAGGGGGTGAAAGGCACAAGAGGAACACACAAAACTTCCCTATCCGCCGAGGTCACTGAAGATGTAAGAGCTGAAACAGGAGGGGGCCTTCTCCCTGGCATTTAAAGTCCAGACTCTGTCCTCTAAACCTGACTTGGCACACACACCGCCACCTTGCTGCCCTGTGCTCTGGGAGACACTGTGCTGGAGTCAGTGCCCACCAGAACTTTCTGCGTTGGGAAAATGTTCTACCCGTGTTCTGTAGCGCATGTGAGCCACCAGCCACATGCGGCTATTCAGCATTTGAAATGTGGCTGGTGTGACTGAGATGCCAAGTCTTTCCCTCATCTCATTTTAATTAATTTAAAACTAAAGAGCCGGCACAGCTAGAGGCTGTGGCATTGGACAGCACAGCTCTACTGAGAAAGCTACATGTCTTGGCTCTCCAAATGAACTTATGTTCACTTTGGGGTTATGCCCTTGGCTTCCTTCCAGCGGGATCTTTAAACAAAACCAGACAGTGATTTGTCAGGGCACACACTTGGGAATTGTCAACTATATCCTTTGTTATTGTTTAATCACAAATTGTATGTGGACACTTCTTTTAGGGCTCCTTTGAGGAATTAACATATTTTCTAGTCATTAACAACAGAATTACCCAAATAACTACATTTCTATTTTCACATTGGCTGTCAGGAAGCCCATAGGACATTCACAAATCACTGAGAGCAATTGCGTAAGACCTGTGTGTAAGCCAAGATATGTATGGTGTCTACTTTTTCTTCTTAAACTTTATTAGTTTACATTCTCTCTGACCCTGATATTTTATTTTGTATTTTTCTTTTTATTATTTTCTATATGTCTCTCTAGAAATTACCTCAAATCTTTTATAGAATCAAATAGCATGCATTTTTAAAAATCCTTTAAAAATGCTGTCCAATGAATGGTACCAGTATTTTAAGTGAGTCACCTTCTCTCCAACATCCTTTATGTAAAACACACGTTCACAGAGGCTTTCTAAAATGCTTCCAAACACATGCTCAGATTCTTCTCTGGAGGCACCAATCAGAGGCCTCCTTAACTAAACTGAGGATGGTCACTGACATGGGAGGTGCCACTCCATACCCTCAGGCATCAGAAGAGACTTCCAAGGGCCCAGATCTGGGTTGAGGTTACTGGTTGGACTCCGGGCCACAGCCAGGAGAGCTCTCAGCCATAAGATTGGGAGACAGAGGCTTCAATGCCACTGTGACCACTGTGGAAACAATCTCCCAGGCAACGGTATATTTGCTGGGTCCATCTCATTTCACAGCTGACTTTCACAAGCTAAAAATTGCCAAGTCGATTCATGGGGTGAGAGGGGAGAAAAGTCAAAACTGAAAGGTCAAGGAAACCTCTCAAGTGACATAACATTTTAATTTTGCTCGAAAATAAAGCTGTCTGCTTCACTTTTTCATCCTCCAGGCAGCATCTCCCAGCTTTCTGATGACCAGAAAGCAGAACCTGAAGGACACTCAAGTTAAGAGGGTGTGTGTATGTGTATGTGTGTTTGTGTGTGTGTGTGTGCGCACGTGAGCACACGCGTGCATGTTTGGTTTGGGATAAAAATAGAAAGAAAGAGAAGAGGATATTTGAAAATTCATCATATCTAATTATCTCTTTAAACCAGAGCTGGGAGCACGGTAAAGTATTCTCCTGCTACTGTTGCCCAGTTCAACGTGGAAATGAAATGACCTTCTTGCGCCAAACAAGCTCATCTGTCCCTAAGACTTAAGTAAGATGTACATATCACGCTTATACCCAAGACCTAGCATGATGATCCCTTGGGAAGACAAGAGATGAAAACAGAGTGGCCAATACGAGCCATATTTTTCCAATCTCACAAGAGTTCTACAAGATGAGTATTACTGTTTCCATTTTACGGATGAAGAAACTAAGATTTACCTAAGGTCACAGGATTTAAACCAGGGCTCCTATTTTTAAGTTCAGTGTCCTTTTTCTCCACCCTGCTCTTTGGAGAAAATATCTTAATAGCAAGAAGGCTTCTTAATGGATCGATTCCCCACTAAGAAAAATGGCAACAAAACCCAAGGCTTTTCGTAGAGCTCATGGGGAATAAAAACAAAACCTGGTTGGGCTTGGTGGCTCAGCCTGTAACCCAGCACTTTGGGAGGCCAAGGCAAGTAGATTGTCTGAGCCCACCCCGGGTTTGAGACCAGCCCCGGCAACTTGGCGAGACTCCATCTCTACAATAAATAAAAAATTAGCTGGGCATGGTAGCACATGCCTATAGTTCCAGCTACTTGGAAAGCTGAGACAGAAGGATGGCCTGAGCCCAGCAAGTTGACGCTGGGGCGGCTGTGAGCATGCTACTGAACTCTAGCCTGGATGACAGAGTGAGACTCCAACTCAAAACAAAAAACAAAAAACAAAAAAACCTCCACCTAATGGCAATTACTGAGACACGAGAGGACAGAAGAAGCAGGAAGCTGCCAGGGATCAGCACTGAGAATGAAGCAGTCCCAGAATAAGTGAACACAAAAGCCTGAAAATCTAGCTCCATAGTAAGAAAGAGAAAGAAGGATAAGCAGGTAAGTAGGCAGGGCTGAAGAAAGCAGAAGATGAAAAACTGAGGTCTCACTGGTTGGGCAAAATCATCCCCAAAGACCTTTGTCTGCAAAGGTCTCACAGTACTAGACACTCAGTACCCACCTGGGGGTGGCCATCGCTACATAAAGAAAGCTCCGGAGACATCCACAGGTTTTGCTTGTCAAGTATCTGTTGCCCTTCTTTTGGAAAGAGATGCCCGGTTCCCATTTGGGGAACCTCCTCTCCCCTCTCTCAGACATGTGGTCAGGTGAGGTTAACTCCAACCCCATAGCCAGTGATGGTCAGAGCTGAATCGGGCCACAGAGTCCATCGCCCTACCCCAAATTTCAGGGATGGGCTCAAGACCCAAGATCAGTGAGACATGCCCCAGACTTCACCGAAATCATCCCAATGGACTGAGAACTTGACCCTGATTAGAGCTATCCTGTCAACTCACAGAGAGCTGGCCCAAGAAGGCCACCTAGCAGAGGAAACAGGAGATGGCAGCAGACTCCTGGCTGCAGGTCTAGTCATGCCTGAGGCCCTACCCGCCCCTGGATTCTCAGTTGCAACACAAGCCAACAAATATCCATTTCTGCTCAAGCCACCCACACAGAGGTTCTGAGGTGGCCACACTAAGATGTCTGGCCACACGAAGAGGCTCCATCCTGATCCTCCTGTCTGACTGAAGGCCACAGGCCTCTTCCTCAGGGTGGCTGGCAGTTAAAACACTGGCCTTAGGAGGACCATGGCTTCCTAACCATAGTGCCCCACCAGCAAGACGCAAAACACCACAGCATGACAAACAGGTATCACTCTACCGCAGCTGTGATGCCCACTTGAAAACCAGGCACTCACCTGATACACGTGGAAGGCATTTGCTGCTTTGCCCCGGAGAAACACTGAGGGGATCCAGACGTTGATCAGCGCCCGGTTTGAACTGACCAAAAGAAAGAGATCAAAACTGGTCATTTTAACTTACCAAAAAAAAACCAAAACTCAAAAAACAGAAAAGGAAACAAACGTCTCCTCTAAGAAGCATTATGCACAAGCTATTTATGACAACACACATCACACTTGACGGTAAGCTAAAGGAAAAGTTTTAGTCTTTTCACTCACCACCCCATACACACACACCACCCAATTTGTGTTCTAGAATGAGAGAAAGAGTTACCTTCCAGTTCTTGCTAACTGAGTGACCCTGACCTATAATATATCTGAACCTCAATCTCCACATCTGAAAAAGAGGGTATGTAATGGGAAGCCCCAAAAGAAGCTATCATGGGAAGCCAAGCACAACAATACCTGGAGTATCTAGAACACCCAGGGGAGGCACAAGGCCTCCTCACTGTGCTGGCTTTAGACTCTGATCCCCAATTTAAGATCAGACTTCACAAAAGAGCTCAGGAGACCAAACCAACACCCATGGCTATAAGAGTGACAGTTGTTTGGAGTGTGAAGAAGGTAGGAAAACAGAAAATAACAAGTCAGAAAACCAGGATGGCAGGCACAAATACCGCTTCTTCAACCTTCCCAAATTATTGTGGCACATTGGTCTAATAAAACAAGACTTAAATTCAAATACAAAATCATGTACCAACAGAGCATAGAGCATGGCTCTGTGCTTTTACCTACATTAACTCATTTAATCCTCATATGAGTTATTTAAGGCATTTTTTAAGAAGTATTTTGGTCATGGGACTGTTCTGCCTGATGTGATGACTTTGAACTTAACTTGTAAGTCACTGGGTATACACACACATCATCACGTTTCCACCTGGCTGGATCCAAATCACTCAGAGATAATAAGTTGACTGTTGCTGAAACTTCAAGATCAATCATAACTATCAAAACGATATGGTGTAATTCTAAAAGGGCTGGAAGTTTCCAGCCCTTCCCTTTATTTAGGACTTAATGCTTTTTCCCTAGCTCTCCTTCTCTCTAAAGAGCAGCTCGTAAAAATTCGCCAACCTCCTGTGCTTGGAACACGAATTGAGAAGTTGATGATGGAAGATTCCACGATTCGGTGTTCTCACAACCTCTACAGTAAAGAGCATTTTATTTTCACAAAGAAAATAACCCTTCAGGTAATGGTTCTCTCCTGGAGCAGCATTTCTCCTAAGCTCTGAGGTGTGGTGCTGACCTCCTTCAAGGGGCAAAATAAGCCCTATTGATCACTTCCCCAGGGCTCAAAGTACAAATTGCAATTCTGAGTCACCAAAACTGCCTTGTATATTTAATAACATTCTTCCTGTAAAGGTCCCTGAAGTTGTACTAGTGCCTAGAGCATTCTCTTTTCATTTCTCTGTGGGGGGGAAGTAGGAGGGTGGGAGTGGGGGGTGGAAGTATAACCCACACTCTGGTTTTTATTAACTCTCCTCGATTGGTGAGGATCAGACAACTTCCCAGCCTACAGGGAGGGTACACCAGCCTGGGTTAGATGTTTCTCCCTTTCAGTGCATTTACCACATTGTGTTAGAATTGCTTGCTTACAAGGCCATCTGCCTCCTGGGTGTTAGTTCATTTATCCATTCTTTTGTTTGTTCACACATTCATTCATTCATTATTTACTGAGAACCAATTGTGTGGCAGACACTATTCTAGGTCTTGGAGATAGAGCAATAAAGCAAGCAAACACAGCTCCTTTTCTTGGTGGAGCATGTAGTTTAACAAGGGAGAGAGCTAAATCTCCATAAAAATTACTCTACTGAGGTCAAAGACGATTCTTCGCATGATTTCCTTTTTTCAAAATGTATGAAGACTTATTTTGTGGTCTAACATATGGTCTACCTTGGAAAGTGTTTTATGTGCACTTGAGGAGAGTGTGTACTCTGCAGTTATGTGGTGGAGTGTTCTAAATACATCTTTTACATCTAACTGGTTTATTGTGTTATTCAAGTCTTCTACTTCCTTGTTGAGCTTCTGTCTAGTTACTCTATCCATTATTGAAAGTGGGGTACTGAAGTCTCCCACTGTTACTGCAGAACTGTTCATTTCTCTTTTCCTTTTTGTCCATTTTTATATCATATGTTTTGGGGCTCTGTTCTTAGGTGCATATATGCTTATTGCTGTTACATAGCAATTTTTTTTTTTCTTGAGTTGGAGTCTCACTCTGTCACCCAGACTGGAATGCAGTGGCCACTTCCGGCCACCGCAGCCTCGACCTGCTGGGCTCCAGCGATCCTTCCACCTCAGCCTTCCAAGTAGCTGGAACCACAGGCGTGTGCTACCACGTCTGGCTAATTTTTGATTTGTTGTAGAGATGAGGTCTCGTCAAGTTGCCCAGGCGGGTCTCAGGGATTACAGGCTGAGCCACCAAGCCTGGCCACACAGCAATTATTTAATAACCATTATTAAATGCCACCAACAAACACTGGATCTAAGGATAGTGACTGCCAGAAAGGCCTACTTTGGTCTGCAACACTTCTTTGAAAAAGCAATATTTGAACGAGACTTTGAAGAATACTGAGAGTTAGCCATGGTGGGGAAAGGAGTTTGAGGATGGGAAAGGTGCTTCAGGCAGGGAAATTAACATTTGTGAGGAACACAGAGTCTAGATCAGGCCTGCATAGGTTTGAAACTCAGAGGGTTGTTGTGGGGACTATGTGAGTTAGAAAAGTGCCTAGCACAGAGGAAATGTTGCACATGTGTGGGTAAATAAATAAAATAATAACCCTGAAGGGGTTTGGGAGGAGTGGAATCAGCCAGGGTGCTGGTGTGCAGGGAGAGGAGAAGGAAGGGCTGAGGGTAAATCCAGGGGGCAGGAAGGCCTTCTTTGTAGGCTTCATGAAGGGTTCTGGTCTCCATGTTGAGAAAGGGGAATGGTGTCACGGCTTCCCTCTGGCTTTAGCATGGATGAGCAGACGAGCACAAGGAGGCTCCACATCTTGGGGGAAGAGAGGCTGTGGCCTCGACCAAGCAGAAAGGCCAATCGAGGGCAGGGACTGCAGCTAATTTGTCCCTCCATCAGAACCTGGTAGGACACCTGCCTGCAGCAGGAGCTTGGTAAATCCTCAGTTTAATAACAACTCCCTATCACCTGGTCACTGACTGGTCTCTGGGGCTCCCCTTCGCAGTTCTCACCTCTCTTCCCAGTTTCTCCCACTGTTGCTCTCCACTAGGATGCCATTCTAGGGGCTTCTTCATGCTGTATTCCCTCTGCCCGCATGCCTATGGGAGGCTATATCACCTCTGATTCTCATCCCTAACCTCTAGCTCCTCACCTTACCACCGTGACAGCCACCTTCCCCTCCATGGTAGCTGCCCCCAGCATTCAGCGGTCCCCTAATGCCCTCCTGTCTCTTACCACCTCGCTTTAATTGCCCCCATAGGCCCTACAAGGTTGACTTTGGGACCTTCACCTTATGAATGAAGAAACTGAGGCACAGTGAAGTAAAGTGGCTGGACCGGCGTCTGCGACTTCAATGCCAGGTCAGCCTGGCTCTGAAAAAAATGCTCTTTCTCAGACTCTACCCTGTTTTCTCTCTTTTAGAAGCTGTTTTTCCTGGATGAACTCTCTTACAGGAAGGCCAAACATCCTTCTATTCAGCATTGCTGGAGAAGAGAAGGGGAGGCTCACCTGACTTTTCTTTATCAGCCTAAGGGGATTAGCTATCTAAAAACCAAGGCAACCTGAACAAAAACAGTCTGATGACCAACTAACTTCCTTAGGTGTTATCACCAGAGGCAACAAATAGAATCTAATCCAGTAGAAGATCAGACAACACACTAGCTACTGTTTCCAATAACCCAGGGGTCACACAGATAAGGAGATAAGTGAAGTGAGCCAGAGGCAGGCAACAGGGAAAAGTGGGGACTGTGGTAAACTGAAGAGCACATGCCCTGTGTAAAGGGAACCACTGCTATTCAGCTGCAGTTGGCCGTGGTCCCACAGGGATGACAGTCTAATTCTTAAAGAAAAGAAAATAAATGTAAACCTTCATGTGATATCTTCCAACTTTTAACCAACCCTAACCCTAACCCAAAAATGTCTTTAAATACCCAAGGGGAAGAAGGGGAGATAAAAAAGATAAAGCATGTCTAAAGGCCAGACTCAGGCCACAGGGGAACAACTCCCGCCTCTACAATAACCAGATCGACCTTGTGCAGGTTTACACAATGGTTTCTGTTTCCTCCTGTGGTTTTCTGGGACACAAGCCAACAACAGAGTCCTATTTCTAAGGGCCCCCTACTGAGCAGACGCCATGGACTTACATTTCAAAATCCGACAAACTCTGGTCTTCAGATGTTTGACTCAAATCTCCAGGCACCTACCATCGGGAGAAGGGGGAAAGGGGCGGAGAGAAAACGCATAATGGTTACCATGGTTTGCATGATCACAGAAGAATTCTGCCTCTCCATAATCCCTGAGCATTCCCGGTTAAGAATGAGGTAGAAAAGCAGTCACTGGAAAACAATAAGAGATTCTGTGGAGGGATGGTTGGAGATGATGCTGCAGTAATAAAATATGCCACCATGAGAGATCTCAATTATCTTTATGGAAAAAGCACTGTTAATCCTATTGAGATAATCATAGGCATGTAAAAGCATGTCATTTTGCAGCTATAAAGGCCTAATTAGGAACTGAGATGCAAGATATCAGATGTGCGATGGAAAATATAGCCATTGCCATCATGATGAACAAAACACACACAGACGCAAACACAAAAGAATAAACACAAAAGGACAACATCTCCCCTCACAATGGCTCCATTCCCCCATACCATATGAGCAATTTTAGGCAGTGGAATATGGCTTCTCCTTCAGAGGGCACATGAGAAGAGAATGAGAGAAAATCTACACTGCATGGCATTATGGTCCCCGCCTCTACCAATACTGTGAAGAGGTACTGACTACACACCGTGGAGCTTAGCGTGAAGGCCAGCAGGCATTCAATGGGCATGTAACCCCTGGAAAGGTCGCACCTTTGGCTCCCCCTCAGATAGGGAAATGGATTTTCAGGGCTGTAGCAAGGATTTGCAATGATTATGGAAAGCAGATAGCAAAATGCCCAGCAGTGGTAGATGCTCAGTAAATGTTGATATTTTTCTCATATCCAGGAAACGGGCTTCTTTTTTTTGATCTGCTAAAAAATAAATTGGCTAGAATGTTTAAAATGTGGATCAAGACTACCAGAAACCAAGCAGAACAGGGAAGAGCATAGAGCAGTAGGCGGATAGAGAGCACATGGAGTTCACACCTTTTACCCATCAGAACTTTCACATGATCCACAGTTTTCATGAATCTCCCTAATGAACCCAAGGGTAGGTATTATTCCTCCCACTTAAGAGAGGAGGAAACTGACATTCTGGGAGGCTGTGTAACTTGTCCAAGGTCACACATCTACGAAACAGATCTGTCCAACTTCAAAGGCTTTTCTGTTACAAACCCTCAGCAAGCAGAAAAGGCCAGCTAAAAGGTGAAAAAGAAAGGTAAGACTTGAAGAAATTCTGCCTGTACAGAGGGTTAGAAGACACTAGAAGGCACTCCCTAAAAAAACAGTGGGTTCTGGCTTTGGGGGCAGGAGAATGCAGTGGGTACAGAGTCTGGGTTCTGGGTCCACACAGCTCAGGAGCAAATCCCAGCTCCACCTCTTCCTGATTGCATTGCCATGAGCAAATCACTTACCTGTGTCACACTGCCTGCATCTGTAAAATGGGTCTAATAGTAGTAATACTCACAGGGTTGTTCTGAAGACAAAAGGAGTTCATATCTGTAGAGTATGCAGAGCAGTGCCTGGCATGTAGAAAGAGCTTAATAACTGAGTGTGTACTATGATAATATGACAATTATTGAGAAGTAAAAGCAGTATGTTCTGTTACTCTTGACACTTGACATAGAATCTGCCCTTCCAGCCCAAGGGGTGCCTCTCACTCCATGCATGGCAGCTCAGAGGGAGAATGACCCACACTGAGTCCTTTAGAAATGTCTGGAGCTAAGCAATTAAATCAGGTCCAGGTAGCAAACATTCCTAAGAAGGAGCTATGGTGAGATCCCTTCAGATCCAGTAAGGAGAAACCTGCCTTGCCACTTGAAAGAATTTTACTTGCCTAAGATCTAAAGCCTCACGGGTCCATGAACTCACTGTGCTGAGAGATGATAGAATGCATGAAGAAGCCAAGAGGCTGTGTGCACCAAGATCCCGAAAAACACCCACATTCTTGACCCAAGGATCTGCGGCCAGAATCAATCTAGAGCAAGCAACTGGAGACACCAACCAAGATTTACATCAAGAATGACCATTCCTCTTTCCATAGCTTAGAGAAGTAAAAAAGAACTGCAAACAATTTAAAGGTCTAACTATAGAAGGATGTTTCAAGAAATTAATGCCATGTCCATATGAGATGGCCAGGTTAAAAATATTTTTAAAATAGGTTTTAATGTGTGCATGTGTGTGTACATGCACATTTATGACGGTACAATCCTGGAAATAATTCTGGAAAAATATCTAATAGCTAGCTACAATGTTTATAATTAATAAAAGAGTAGGAGTGGGATTGGGGGGGAAAGGCATATTTTTTATTTGCTATCTTTCTATAAGATAAAACATGCAGTTTTTGAATTGCTTTAAATAATTTAAATGTGCTTTGGAATAATGACTTAGCTTTCTACGTGCTGTTATGAAAAGATCTCCAGGATAGATCATTAGGTGAAACCAGAAGCAGAGTACAGACAGAAGGTCTAATATACTACCTTGGGTGCAAAAATGCAACATCCAGAATATCCAGCTGTATTTGTTTGTCTTTGCATCAAAAAGATCTAAAAGTGAAATCCAAGTCATCAATAAAAGGGGCATACAGTGACTGCTAGGGCAGGAGCCTGGACCACTGGACAGCACAGGAAGTGAGGCTATTCATGCTACATCCTTTTCTATCATTGCAGTTTTTAAATAAATTAATATACTACCAATTAAAAATTTAAATAAAAACGTATAATCCCTCCAAAAGAGTGCCTGTGATAAATCTTTAATGGCACAGAAAAAAAGCTCTGGTTTCTGTCTAATAAGAAGCAGTTAGGAGCTACAAATGCCCAATGTGACTCCTAACTGGGACTTACAACATCTGTGTCTCAATAAGATTAGAATGAAACACACCCAGGAAGTGACAGCAGAAGACCTCTGAGAAGGAAGTCAGATGAAACTGACATTATATATTTTGAAATTTTCTCTACTTTCTCCAATGAAGACATATTAGCTACACAACAATAAGTGGATATACATTATGTATTGATTCCGGTGTGCATCATATTATTAGGTAATAAAATACTCTTTCCACCTCATCCAGCCCCATGCATTTCACTAAAAGGCAGAAAGCCGGATGGCAGAGGTTGTGCTTCAAACACTTTTATGTATCATGGATGAAAAAGGGCAAAGGAAAGGCTATGAAGCCACGTCAACTTTCTGAGGACATCCACGCCCCCCCCCCCCCCCCGTGCCCCC